GTGAGGAGGAAGAGGGGGAAGAATGGAGGAAAGAACATTACAAGGCAGAAGAGAGAACAATGACTCTGAATCCAGAGCTGCAAGGACTGGAAGCCTGGTGCACTGGAGTGCAGAGACCAAAGGAAAGCGACAGGAAATGAGTGGTATGAGAGAGGGTGACAGGCTCCAGACCAGGCGATGTGAGTAGATCTTGTTATGGAGCTTGGATTTATCCTAAGAGACTTGACATGATGTAATTTACTTACAAGATTATACCTGTGGATCCTGTGTAGCGAAGGTCATGAGAAGAGGCAGGAAGATCAGACAGGAGGTTGTGACAGTGGTCCAGTGGGAGAGATTGGAGTGTGGGTTGGACAGTGGTGGTGGCAGTAAAGAGAAGTGGATGGATTCAAGAGATGTTTAGGAGTGTGGGGCCTGACTTGAGGGCAAAGTTTGGGATGACACATCCACATGTCACACATACTCCCTCGCTGCCTAGGCACACTGGAAAAGTCACGGCCTATAGGGGATCTGCCTCATGAAAGAATGTGGATGGTAAAGAAAAAATGTTTGGAGGGGAAAAAAAAAGCTTTGGATGAGAGGTCTGGAAACCTGATTCTTTAGTTCCTGACAATGACTTTTTGCTAGAAAGCTATATGACCTTGGACAGTCATTTCATTTCTCTGGGCTTTAGCACATTCATCTTGAAAATTAGGGAAGCACCTGGCCCGTGTGGCTCAGTGGTCGAGCGTCGATCTATGAACCAGGAAGTATGGTTCGATTCCCATTCAGGGCATATGCCCAACTTGTGAGCTTGATCCCCAGTGTGGGGCATGCAGGAGGCAGCCAATTAATGATTCTCTCTCATCATGGATGTTTTTATCTCTCCCTCCCTCTTACTTTCTCTTTGAAATCAATAAAAAATATACATTTTTTTTAAATGAAGGGAAGTCATCTTAGATCCCTTGGAGATTTAATTTCTGTGATTTAAAAGTCAGCTTTTAGTAATTTCTGAATAATTTTTTTCTAGAGGATCGATGGTAAATGTTTAATTATATACTAGTATCCTCTTTATTTTAGAACTGGTGGGCCATCTCCCCATTCATTTCCTGAATGCAAACAAACTTCAATATGAGCCTAAGTGACAAGCAAAGTAAATCAAGCCAACAACAACAAAAGCGAACAAAATGCACTGGTAGTACAGTGTAACTTATGTACAATGCCAATGGTGCATGGTGGGACTTGTGTTAGTGTCAGGGTATTTTAATAAGTTTAAACATTTTAAGAAAAGAATACTGTTTTAGTTTAAATACAACCAAATCTAGGTAATAGCCAGCCATGTTAAAACAGAATTCTTCTGTGTAAATTATGTTTAGATTCACCTAGCACATCTGTCTTCATAAGCAAGGCTCTACATGGACTAAGTGGGAAAAGATCATTATTACTGTAGTAATTTGTAATCTGTGATAACTCAGCTAATGATGAGTCAAACATATCTATTTTCCATTATGTATAACGAAAATTTATTAGCTTGCATTGTTTTACTAAAAATACAATTATAAAGAAATAAGATATTAAGAGGGGCAAATTTTACAAATGACACTGCCCACTAGTAAGCTAAAAATGAATGTGAGGGATTTTCTTTTTTTGTTTTGATCACACTTACCAAGTCCTTGGCATTTAGAGATACTTCATCCCACCAGGGGGAGATAAAGTAATATTCACAATTCAGAATTCTCCTGAACATGAACTGGTCACCTCTCTCATCATAGAATGGTTCAAATCCACAAAGTCTAGAGGGACAAAAGATAGAGAATACAACGTCTTTCAAAACTTAAGTATCTTTCACCAATATTTTTGTAGAAATTTCAAGATTGTTCTTTCTCACAGCTTCATGTTATGAATGCAAGTCTACTCGGCACAGGTATGTTACAATTTGTCTCTGAGTGTGTAAACACACAATCACGTTATCAGGAAGTAGGAATAGATACAAAACCAACTTAAGATTTCTAAGAACAGTTACACTCATATTCATAATTATGACACAAAACACCTATGACAATAGCTAACATTATTATAAGCACCATGCTCATGACTCTCCATGAATTTTTTCTCCAGGAATCGAGAAGATAGTGATTGATTAGAGTTCCAGTTTATTACAAGGTGGAAGAATTAGGATTTAGAGAATAAAGAGATTTAAAGGTGGGAAGAAAAGATTTTTCAGCCATTTTTATTCACCCCTATCCACTGAATTCCTACGTATACATAAGCATTATATTTCTACTGCATTCCAGTTTGGATTTCAGAGTGAACAAAGACAGGAGCTAAAACTACTGTTGGAGAACGGCCTTTTGAAACTTCATACAGTGAACAGATAGATGCAACCAACAGAGATGAGCAGCCTAGAGTCTCTTCCACCTTGTATGAGAACCTCACTGTTGTACATTTTACAGACATTTCACTATGTTCCCACTCATTTTCCACAGCAGGGTCAGGGGAAAAAAAGAATGGAGGAAGTGGGAGAAAAGAAATGGAGAACCACCTGTGGCATCCCAAAGAGAGAGAGAGGAAAAGTGAGCTTCAGGTCCAGGATCACGAAGCCTCCACTGTTTCTAGATGATGAAGGTTCTGAAATCACTAGGCACCAAAAGGAAACTATATAAAAAAAAAAAAAAAATCCCTGCCAGGGCATGTGTTGCAATTGACAGAGGAATGGGGCAAGGAAGAGGGGAAGAATGAATAAGTTAAAAAACATTTCCCCAAATTCTTCCTGGCCAGATTGGTGCAGAGCATGAAATGTTTTGCATCTCAACATAATGGGTTTCTAAGAAGAAACAATTCTGCACGACCCTTTGCTCTGGGAACATCCCTTTGGGAGAGTCTTTGTCTTTTTCAAACATTCAGGAGCAGCCAGGCAAAGGCAAGGCCAGAGGTGCTGTGGCCCAGGCCATGCACCCCCATCTCCCACTGCAGTGCCCCCAAAGAGGATCCGACTCCAGCTTAAGGAGAGAAGGGAGCGTATGTCCACACCTTGACAAGGAGGCAGCCCAGCCTTACCTGGCCCTCCACAACCCTAGAAAAATAGCCTGTTGGTTAGTCATGGAGAAATGAGCCAACTTTCCAGGTTTAGTTTAGCTTGTGTTTCCTGGAAATCTAGAGAGAAAAATGACAGTTCAGAAGGTACAGTACTCAATGTGCCTTTCTTTCATTTCAATCATGTCAGCAACTTTGTGGTTTGGTGACAGAGGTAAAAAGTTTGTCATGTCAGCCTGAAGTGCCAAAAGTGAAAGAAATGTGACACACAGCAGAGCGCACACACACACACACACACACACACGTCAAAAACCCTTTAGAAATGGGAAAATGAGACTGCTGACAAGGACCACTTAGGAGGGTGCTACGATTACACGGGCCTGATGTGTGAATGTGTAGTACAATGGCTCCAAGACATTGGGCAGAAGTGCCTTGTTGAAAGCTGAAGGAGAGTTTGAATCTCTGACGTTAATCTGATTCTGACTCTGACCTCAGCATTGCAGTAGTTGTTTTTGTCTGTGGGGACAAGAGTTTAGTTGTAAAGGTAGAGGGACCAGAATTCCCGTGAGAAACAACAACATGGCCTTCAGTTCCAGCCTACTGTCATCCTTGGAAATAGCAAGGTCATAACACAAAATGGCCTGGCGGAACTTTCAATGATAATAAAGGAGATGCATAGGTCCAAGGGCACAGTTCCCTGGAGAAAATGTTCCGTGAACCTCCCCAGGTAGCCTTCACCAATTACTAATGAGCTACAGATACATGAAAAGTCCCCAGGCCCCTGGCAATGGGCAAGGAGACACCTGATGGGTGGTGCTGCTCTTATGTCAGTCAGGGGCCAAGCAGATGTACAGTCCTGAGTTCATCCTAGCTGATGCCTGTGTGGGTGGCCAGAGAGTTTCATGCCTGGGGCACATAAAAAATAAAGGCCCCCAGGCTAACAGGAGTTAGACCCAAATTAAGGGATATTTGTTGTAAGCAGCAATCTTATTTTCATTCTGGGGGTTCCTGCTGCTACTTTCAACCAACACCTATTAATTAATGACCTTAAGTAACTAGGGGGAAGGACAATTAAAATTATTTTCAAGGCTATAAGATGTGTCTCAAATGATCACAGATTTTTCTCTTTATTTCTCCTTGTCAGTGACCATACCATGGAGTTATAGTCATTCCATATTTCAGTTTTTCAGGGTGACTGTAGCTTAATTTCCTACTTCCATCTCTCTGAGTTCTTATACATCCGTAATGCTTTAACCCCCCCCCCCATAACATTTTAACATGAAATTGTAACTGGGTGGGCATAGTTACATTTTAGGGGCAAATAGGAATCATTATTTGTGTAGTTCAGTTTTTCTCTTAATGTCACTAAATATGATATGTCACCTCCATAATTCAGGAGACAATACATAGGAATCATTATTTGTATAGTTCAGTTTTTCTCTTATGTCACTATGATATGTCACCTCCATAATTCAGGAGACAATATTCTTTCCCAGTATAAAAGTGATCTCAAATATAAGCTGAAGGAATTTAGGAATTCTATCATGTGGTCTTAGGAATTCATGTTAATGAATTAAGAACTTAGTGTGGCAAACAGAAATTACCTAACATTTTTCACTTTCATAAGAAAAAACATGGTCTCTACCTCTCCAAATCTTCTGAAGCTTCAATACATTCAGGAAATATCTTTGGGCATCACATAATCGCCTCTGGCTACTGATAGGTTGCTTGTTGACCCTTTCGTCTTTTTTTTTTTTTTTTTGCAGGAAGTTCGACCGTTTAGTCTTGGCTACTGACCAACGTCTGTGCTCAGAGTTTACTAACTTGGTTGGGGGTCTGACCGCAGTCACCCCATGCCTAGCCATATTACCTAAACACCGCAATTTCTAGGATCACCATCAAATTAAAAACAAAACAAAACAAAGCCCTCCTTCTTCCATGAAATGAATTGTGTCCCCTTTCTAATTCCTCTATTAAAGCCTTAACCAACCTGATGGGATTTGGAGATGAGGCTTTTGGTAGGAAATCAGGGTTGGAGATCATGAGGGCGGGACCACATGATGGAATAAGTGCCATGTTAAGAAGAGGCACCAGAGAGCTAGCTTCCTCTCTCTGCTATGTGAGGACACAGTGAGAAGGTGTTTGTCTACAAGTCAGGAAGAAAACTCACACCAGAACTCGACCTATTGGCACCTTAACCTTGGACTTCCAGCCTCCAGAACTGTGAGGATAAATGTCTGTGTTTAAGCCACCCAGTCTGTGGTATTTTATTATGGCAGGCTGACCTGACAATATACTTTCTTCTACATTCTCTAAAATCCCTTTACAGAATTGAATATTATAGGTTCCAACAATTAACCTTGCAGTAGCCTTTAAATGGCAACCAAATCTGCTTGTTTTGAATTAAATTCTGGAACTCATTGATATCTTGCTTTTTTGCTGTTGTAGGCATATTCTTCACTCTTCTATCATTCTTTCTTATTTCCCCTGTATGCATCTGCAATTCCATCATCTCTTTGGCAAGTTTCCCAAAACCCTTTGTTTATTGATAGAAGGAGCTCAAGAATGGAATTGGGGATACCAGAGAGTGAGAGATTTAGCCCACTTTTTTCCCCTACCTAATGTTTCTCAGAATGTACAGTATTAAACTCAAGGGCTTTGAGAACCCAACAGAGAAAGGAAATAAAACTGATAGCTAAAATGCATTTAAGACATTTCTGATGGGAAATGTCCCAGTTTGGGGTTGCTTAAGAGATTAAATATCTATTTTCCCTTTAAAAAGGACTAATACCCTAATTATTTCGACAAGATGCAAATAGGTAAAATAATAGCATTTAAAATAAATGAACACGGGTTTCACATACATTATTATCACCAAATAATGAATTTTCCCCCAAATCTGCTCTGCATTGCATAGCAGAATGGGACACAGAAAGCCCTGGACAGGAGTACTGGCCCCAAGAAAATTACAAAATAAAAAGCAATGCTCAATTTCAGAAAATTATATCACTTTGTATGTTTAGTATGTTGTAGAAAATCACAAAAAGTCAAAAAGTAATCTTGCTTTTTATGAGGACCTGAGTACCTAGCGAATATTACAGTAAAGGCAGACAGTTTGCATGAAGATTGCTTTTCTTCACTTACAGGATGTAGGTGATTATCCCCACAGACCACATGTCCACCTCAGGTCCGTAGGCGCAGCCTCTAAGAATTTCAGGTGCTGCAGGAAGAGCAAAAATTGTGTTAAATTGGAGTTTAAATTCAACACTTACATTTTAATAACAAGCAATGGGGAAGAAATGAATTCATCAACATAAACTTCAGAAGAGTTTTATAACCAATCTTCTTTCCCCAAACCAAAGTAGAAGGCTACAATTCTTACGTCTATATTCGTGGGAGAAATTATTGTCTCTGTGTTTAGAGTGCATAAAGAGAAAGCTGTTAGCTTTAATATTCCACATTATGTAGAGCTCTGTCTCTGCTACAAAAGATCCCTTACTTCAAAGGGAGCTTTGTACACAGAAAGGAAAGAAAAAGAAGTTTGGCATAGTAAGGGAACAGGCACCTTGAGACCTCGGTCTGTTTGGAGCGCGGGTGTTCGCGAGTGTCTGTGTTTGACAGAGACCAGACCAGGGAAACAGTGGGAAGGACTGAAAAGTCCCTAGTGCCGAAAGGCTGGAACAGGAGCTGGGAGGGCCCTGGCATATGCCCCCAGGTGGTGGTGAGAACTACAGAGAGCAGCTGTCCCCAGTGAGTTTGGGACTATGAACTGAGAAAGGAGGACTTCTCTGTGTAGAATGGGGCTGCTCCTGTTAGCCCTGCCCACACTGTGAAAGAGGAAGGCGTTCTCAACCACAAAACAGCCCTTAGTACAGAACTGTGAAGAGCTCTTTTATGTTTTATTACCTTGGAGCCATGAAAATGGAGAGTTAACTGAATCCAAGCCGGTGGATTGCAGGTGGCGTTGGTTTGCCTTACTAACAAAGGAAGAAAAGATGCCAGAAGTCTACCGTCTATGCAGAAATAAGGCTCCGAACTGCAGCCCAGAGTGGGCTTTTTTATTTTAAACAAAAGTGCTGTCGGTGTCAGTGGGGCCCCAAAGGAGCTGATTGATGAGTGCTGAGGGCTCCTGAGGGAGGCCATGGGGATGGGGGAGGGGGGCACCACATTCCTCCTCGTGGCTGGGGACAGGAGAGCAAGTGAACGGGACCCCCGTCCCTGCAGGCTGGAAATGCCATACTGCCACAGTGAGCTGTCCGCATGGGACTCTGGATTTAACTTTCAGGAAGAAACACAGCGGCTATTCCACTGACATATTTCCGTACTACTCTCCTCTCCCCATCCTTCCCCAGTCAGGTTCTTCTCATTCCTGTAGAACTTGTGTTCCAGGCGACATAGAAGATGAAGAGCCTGTGCAGTGAAATGGTGTGCATTACAGCACTCTTAGCAGCAAGTCGGCAAAACGCACCCTTTAAGGAATCATATCTGGGGCCAAGTAGTTCTCATGCATAGGCAAATTATTCCTAGAAAACTTCCCTTTTAAGATTCAATTAACATAATTAAGGAAAATGCATGCCGCATGCTAACACCATTCACTCTGTCAGGTTAGCTTTCATTTCCCAGAGCAATCTGTACCCCACAGACGGTTCCTTGGGGCCCCAGCAGCCCCAACACTGAATTCCCACTCACAAATGCTTTGCTCACCATAATGCATAGAAAACTCAAGTTAGGCTGCCGCTCTCACGAGGGCTCCTACCTCTGTCTGTGCATCTGAGAGCTGTTCAGGCTGGGAACCGAAATGCATGCACAGGTCTTCACAGCCGTGAAGGGCTACCCAGCCCCACACTGCATTTAAACAGCAATACAGAAATGGGGTGGGCAGAGCCTTTTACAGTTTCTGGGTCTTGGATTCAACCTCTAAAATCCGAGCGAATTGGACTGGCTATTTCCAAGTTTACTTTGAGTTTTAGCCGGCAAGCCACTGCGATGCTGGTAAAGGGAGAGTCACTGGCAGTTCAAGCAAGACGAGAGGACAGTACCCTACCCACGGAACCTGCTACACTCCCTCCCTCCTGCCAGAGCGCCTTCTGTGTGTGCGGCTCCGTGGGCACTTCTCTTGTTGGCTCCAGTGAAACCAGCCCTCCCATCCTGTGCTGTTTAGAGGTCAGCACGCTGTCGCAAAGGTGAGGTGCTTTTGCTGGCCGTTATTCACAGCTCCCAGGCCAACAGCCTCCAATAAAGTGAATACCGTGGAACAAATTCTCTTCGAAACCACTTTCTAGGGCATCTAGCGTTCTTAACTGCCATGGCAATATCTCCCTTCATAGCACTGGGTACAACCTCACTTTCCAGAGGCAATTCATCTCCTTGTAAGGCATTATGTTGCAATGCACGTGAACTTGTGGGATGACAAGCTGAATTTTCCATCAGGAGGCTCATAGACAAAAGAAATATAGAATGTGTTTGTCCTCCATAAAACATTTCTCTTAAGATTTTTTTAAAAAGAAATTAATAATATTTATTAATCATAATATAAAATTTGGGTAAAACAAACTCTAAACACCTAGACACAGTTAGATACCATTCATACTATCCTTTAAATGTTTGCAATTACTAGTCAATGTGACCTTGCCTTCAGAGCCGGCAGAACATACTCTTGTAATCAATCTATCCGAAGCCTTTCCAAGAGCCAAAAGCTTTTCTAGAATGAAGTTCAGGCTCTGGCACGCCAGGGCTTCAAGTCTCCCAGGGATCAAATATCCTTGCAGGGAATTCTACTTACGTGTGATTTTCTTAGAGTGAGAAATAGCTGACTACCTCCAACTTAGTTCAAGAAAAGGCGTCAGATAGCCCACCTTTAATACTATAAGCACATCTGGATGTCCTTCCTATATTTTCTCAACTCATTGCCAAACAAACAAACCAACAAAGTGGAGGAGGGAGAAAATTTCAGGTGTGATACAGTTTTTAGAATTAATTTAAAATAATTTAGAGTCATCTTTTCTGAAATAGTCAGTAATCATTTATTGATTTTCCTGGCTATCTTTTAAGTTTCCTTTTCTGCCTGACCCAAGTTCCCTGCCACTTCCTAAAATTACCTTATCGGTCATGCTATTGTCCATTGAACACTAACTACTACAGAGGTCCTAGGAGAAAACATACTCCAATCTCCAATGAAGAATAATTTTGGTAGATAGTTTTGAAATTGCCTAGATATCAGACATACCTTTTAAAGAAGCAATTTTAGCTGAATATAAAAATTATATTAGAAATTCCAACTCTAATTATAATACTTATTCACCAGTATACCACTTAGACCTCACAGTGCTGATTTTTTTATAAGACCATAGTACCATTAGAATATCTAGAGATTGAGGATCTCTCTAGAGATAGGAGTGATTGTCAATTTATTAAATAAACTCACTGTACCAAATTCTGGAAATGGTCTTAAATAAAAAGCATCAGGTGTGGAGTATGACACCCAGGGACCATTCGTGCAAGGTTTTCCCTCTTTTCCTAAAGCCCTAGACTCCAAGGCCTAGAGAAAAATTAAGGTTGATTTTGGTCCTTGATTGTACCTTCATTTTGCCAATGTGCTAGGGGCAGTGGTCGGCAAACTGCGGCTCGAAAGCCACATGTAGCTCTTTGGCCCCTTGAGTGTGGCTCTTCCACAAAATACCGACTTCTGCGCATGGGCCACAAAGTTTCAATCGCACTGTACACGCGCGCCTGCACGTGGTATTTTGTGGAAGAGCCACACTCAAGGGGCCAAAGAGCCGCATATGGCTTGCGAGCCGCAGTATGCCGACCACGGCCCTAGGAGACCTTTATTATCCCTTCCTACCTAACAAACCAACAAACTGGAGGGAGAAAATCATCTCAGGTGTAATACAGAGTGAAAATTACAGAGTAGCATTCTTTATCAGAGGACTTTTTCAAACTACTGTTAACTGTTTTGAGAAAGTCAAATCCAAGGGAGACTAGGTTAATGAAATTAACAGGTTCATTCATTCACTCATTAAAGAATTATGAGCGATTCGTTAAGCACCTGCTGTATGGAAGGCAGTGTGTTAGGTGGTGCTAGGGCAGTGGTCGGCAAACTCATTAGTCAACAGAACCAAATATCAACAGTACAACGATTGAAATTTCTTTTGAGAGCCAAATTTTTTAAACTTAAACTATATAGGTAGGTACATTGTTATTAACTTAATTAGGGTACTCCTAAGGCTTAGGAAGAGCCACACTCAAGAGGCCAAAGAGCTGCATGTGGCTCGCGAGCCTGTTTGCCGACCATGGTGCTAGGGGAAGAGGAGTGAGGTGTTAGAGTTCAAGCCTGCCATCATGGAGCTTATAGTTTGGAGGGGGAAGGTGAGGTTGATCAAGAAAGCCATGTGAAGAAACGCAAAGTGGTGATTGGACGTGCTTGTAGGGAGTGTGTCTCTGAGAGAGGGTTGACTTGGTCAGAATGAGAAAGCAGTTTAACCTGAGATGTAAAGGATCCAGAGCAGTTAACTAGGCAAAGTGGGAGAGGGCAGTGGTTGGGGAAAGAGAGAAGAGGGTGCGGGCGGAGAAAGCACATATGAAGAGACCTTGTGGCAGAAAGGAGCAAGGGGCACCCAAGGAACTGGGGGAAGTCAGTGTGGCTGGAGCACTTAGCAGGCAGGTCAAAGCCAGGCTACAGATTCTAGTGGGTCAGGGTTGCTGTTTGTTTATGAATTCTCTCCTATCTTTCATTTTAATGATTCAAAACATACGTGTGTGTGTGTGTGTGTGTGTGTGTGTGTGTGTGTGTCTTTTTTTCATCTTAAAGCCTGAATCTATCTTTACTTCTATGCTACAGCATAGGAAATTTTCACTGTAGAGGCTTTTCTTAAATTCAGAGTTTCTTGGGGCCACAAAAATCTATGTTTTAGGCTCTAACTCAGCCTTTCCATTTTCCTGGACTCTCTTGGTCTTTTAATGCTATAAATATTAGTCAATCCACCTCTCACTTAATATTTTTTCATTTAAGTTGTTAAAAAGTCTTCTTTGCCACATGAACTGTGGGATATTTCTCGATATCTTTTTTTAAGATAATAGCACAGAGGCCACACCTCTTTTTTAAAATTTATCTTTATTGTTGAACGTATTACAGATGTCCCTCTTTTTCCCCTATTTAAACCCCCCATCCCCCACCAACTATTGTTGGATGAAGAAAGTTAGCCTGTTTCTTTTTCTTAC